GTATGTTTTGAAGCATGGCAGCTGGTTTGAGCTGGTTTAAGCTGGTCCTGAGCTGGTTATAAACTGGTCATGAGCCAGTTTAAACTGGTCATGTGCTGGTCCTAAGCAACTAGCTCCAAACCAGCTTCCATGCTTCAAAACATACCTAAACAGCATATGCTGTTTTTTTTTTAAAACAGGGTCGTACCAGAAGTAACCTGCTCTGTCTTGAATGTCAGCGTGTTTTCAGATTCCTCTTTGCTCCGCGATGTATTTTTCACTACGTGACAACATGGTGTGTAGTGTGAGAGTGGCATGGCTTGTCGGACATAGCAAAAGTAACTAAGGGGCATGGGTCTTTGCAAAGGGTCAATTTTGACAAAAACTTACATACAGTATGTTACCTAACCCTAACTAGTTAACATCACCTTGATGGGATTTTTAAATCAGAAGAATTAGCAGCAACAAAGTTCAAATCACACCGTATTTCTGCACTGTTGTTTTCCACAGTCCGGTTGAGAAGCTCAGTTTGGTGTGGCGGAGAAACACCGTGGAAGTGTCCAGCGGCGTGGGATCCTTCAGCCGGCGCTTGACCATCATCAACCCAACGAGTGCCGATGTGGGCATGTACGTGTGCGAAGCCACACTTTTGGACAGAAGCGTGAAGCCGGCGGAGGCCAGAGCCTTCCTCTCCATCACAGGTGAAACACCTCGTCCAATAAAAGCTCCATTTCTTCCCTCCAGCACAATGCTTTCACAGCCGCACGTCTGCAGAGAAAATCCACCGTCTTAATGGTTCCACTCAGTGGGAAGTGATGAACAGCAAAGCCCTCTGATAGATATAGCACTACATTACTGCGCATAAAACCTGAAATTACACACTGTATTAGCTGAGCTAAGAGCTTTTAGGAGAGCCTCAGGCATTACAGCTATCGGTCACAGCGCACTATGAGAATATCACCAGGTAATTCTACACATTAGGATCATCCTGATCCTCTACACACCGCTGAAGTGCCATCAGACCTATTTCCAAGTCATTTGATTTACTTAATAACAGAAAGTGCACATAATTTGTAGTCTTTTGAAATAGCAGCGTGTAAGGAGATAAATGTTGGTGTTATCATATCTTTAGGACAGCATAGTAAAATGGAAGGATCTGCAAACATATTTTCTGTTACATGAACACAGTGTTAAATTAAGAGAATAGATTGGTGCCTTAAAGGGTTACTCCACCCTCCAAGAGCTCTCAGAATTCATCATAAATATCTTAATTTGTGTCTGAAGATGAACGAAGGTCTTACGGGTCTGGAACGACATGAGAGTAAATAATAACAACATTTTCATTTTGGGGTGGAGTAACCCTTTAAGGAGCCATTTCAACCTCTACGAAAATTACTTTACCTAATGTAGTGATATTTAATTATGTTTATTTTAAATAATAATAATGATAATTATTATTATTATTATATTTCCCTTAATAATATTCAATTGTACAGGAATAATTTGTAAAAAAAAAAAAAACATTAAAGAACAGATTTATAAGAACAGAAAATCATTATTTAATACCATTAATAATAGTCTCTTATATGTATAATAATAATATATAAATATAATGTAATAATAATAATAATAATAACAATAATGTGCACATACATGTTTCATTATATTTTAAAGTTACTATTATATATAATTATAAAACGGTTATTATAGTGATTTTTATAAGAATACAATTAATCAATTAAATAATAAACCAAAAATAAAAATAAACAAATAATAAATTACACACACACACACTGTACAATAATAGTATGCACAAAACATTAAAAAACTGATTTATAAGAACAATAATAGTCTTTGATTATAATATTAGTAATAATAACAACAATATTTATAGAAATTATTAATATTATTGTTGTTATTATAACATTGTTTATATATATATATATATATATATATATATATATATACAATATAATATAAAATAATTTAATAATACATTGATGTTTTTAATAATATAATTGTCATATCACATTTTTTGAAAACATTTTTATATTTCCACACAAAGCTCAATATTTAGGTTAACTGACAAATAATTCTTAATAATGTCATTTAACTGCAAGTGTAAGACCTAAAAATGTTTTTTATTTGTATTTTTTTTTACTGTAGCACCATGTGCCATGCCAAAGTTGAATTCATTGCCCAAATTTGTCTTCGTCTCTTAGCGAGACACAGCAGCATAAAACATGATTCTCAATTTCTCAATTATCTGTTCTTAAATGATTTATCTTTAATGTTTATCTCTGATTTATGCTAGTGTCAGGCTACATTCAACAGTTTTTCCTGTCTTTCCTGTGCATATATTTAACACATACTGAGTACTTGCAGTTTGTCCACCTCTTCTCTGTACAGTTATATATGGAAAACCATTGAGCTAAACAGCATATTAAATATTTATGCCTTCTCTTCACTTCACATCGGCGTCCATGTGAGGGCCAAGCTGACAGGTGTTCTGAGCTCCATGTGAAGTCCAATACATATGTATAGACAGACGGATCCGTAACAGGAGGAATATATTGCACTGGGCAAGAGTGCATGTGAATTGATGAATGTGGGCTGTCAGTGTGGCGCGGCACATAAGTCAGAAGCTTAGTGGTGGTTTGGGTGTCTGAATTATATTCAAGATCTCTAAGTATGCATTTATTCATCTGCTTATTTGGGTAAAAGATGCACTTCAGTTTTGATGGTCTGCGAGTTTTTCTCAGAAAACACACATCACAGTTCTGTCTCTCAAGCGTAAATCTCTACAATAATGTCTCTTTTGAGCTGTACATCATACAAGATTAATTTCTTGTAAAACTATTAAAGAGATCTATGAAATAGCTCATAGAAAATAAATCTATGAATGTGCTTTCTCGTCCCGATTTTCATGATTAGAGCTCCTAAATAACTGATTAAAGGAATAATTTACCCAAAAATGAACATTTTATTAACCCTCATGTCAGTTCAAATCAATGTTGTGTCATTTAATTTTCACTGAATAACGAGTGTAATATCGGTACCACTCCCCTCATCTGCCATTGGACGTGCAAACATAGAGCCCCGCCCCAAACTCATGCCATTGGTTGAGTGAGTGTTGCTGTCGTCAGGCACATTAGGATGCTCAAGCAAACAAAACAATGTTTTTAGCGTGATAGAGTGTTTATACTTTTAGGGGAAATCAAACTGTGAATTGTTTACTTGCAAGGTAAGACACTACAGGTGATTAGGGTAAAAATTAATTTGCTTCACAGGACATTAAGACAGTTGTGTTGCGTCGCAAGTTTTCTGAAATTTTATGTTTAAATTAGCAAATTAGGAATTAACCAGTTAAAGATGTGCTAATTTGCATACATTTCCAGAATAGAAATCTAGCCATTGGATAAAGCCAGTTTCAAAATTCTTGTTTCATTTTGTTGACATATTTACAGTTTTTACAGAGGGGATTTTGGATATTTCTTTTAGATCACTCCGTAAATCAGAAAATACTGTCTACAGCCAGAAAACAAATACATTTCCACCGTGTTTTTAGGAATACAATGTTATATGTGACCCTGGACCACAAAACCAGTCTCAAGTCGCTGGGGTATATTTGTAGCAATAGCCAAAAATACATTGTATGGGTCAAAATGATTGATTTTTCTTTTATGCCAAAAAGTAAAGATCATGTTCCATGAAGATATTTTGTAAATTTCCTACTGTAAATATATCAAAACTTAATTTTTGATTGGTAATATGCATTGCTAAGAACTTCATTTGGACAACTTTAAAGGCGATTTTCTCAATATTTAGATTTTTTTGCACCCTCAGATTCCAGATTTTCAAATAGTTGTATCTCAGCCAAATGTTGTCCTGTCCTAACAAACGATGGAAAGCTTATTTATTCAGCTTTCAGATGATGTTTTGAAAAATTGACCCTTATGACTAGTTTTGTGGTCCAGGGTCACATATAAACCATGTGAATGTTATATGAACAAACCCTTCTGTAAAATCCTTCAATATATAAATAGGAATAAAACTGTCATTGCTATAGTTAAGTGGATATTTTTGGCTCAGTGCAGAAAAAACCCACTCATTTTGAGAAAACTTTTTAAAGACTTGTAATTGAAATGTACAGATGCAAATAGATAAAGTATGATAAAATAAAGACTTATGTGTAGTTTGAATGTTTTCTTTCCTGAAAGGTGACAAGTTATGAAAGCAATAGCCCAAAATCTAAAAATTAACCAGTGCCAAAGGCAGTTGTCGCCAACCCTTCGATCGCGATCGACTGGTAGATATTTATCACTGTCCCAGTAGATCCCGAAAATAACAGTAAAATAAGTACAAAAATGCATTACATTTCTGGGGTTATATTAATGTATCACTGAAGGGAACTGTCTTGAGAAAAGTTTCGATGGCAATGGCATTTTCTTCTCCTCCGTATAAAGTGCAGCTCTGCTTTGTTTACAGCGGTAAACGGGGAAACAAGGAAACGCTATATTGTGGTCGGTTCATAAGCAGTGTTGTTGGGCTACTTTAACACTGTTGCCGCGGGTTGTTGTTCATGTCCGCGGGTTGAAGCGACCCCAATAACGTGATATTTAGTCCCTGGAATGTGAATTTTACTGGAAGATCCCTGCCGAAAAACATGTATTTTACCCCCGGAATGCGATTTTTAAAGGGAAACCCCCCTCGAAACAGATTGGACTAGTTTTATTGCGAAAACCTGGTGACCCTGTTCATTAGTGCCACCTGCTGTCAGAGAGTGCGTCTCATTCAGACCTGCTGTTGTTTCGCGCAAATGTTTTATGTAGCAAATAAATAAATAACACCTAACGTCAGACCATTCTGTTTTTGTTTTAAATCCTGAAATGAATCTAAATCAAATCAAAAACAACTGCCCCTGCAGATCGTGATTAAAATGCAGAGGTTGCCTGCAGGGGTGTGAAGTAATGAATTACAAATACTCACGTTACAGTAATTAAGTAGTTTTTATCAGTAATTGTACTTTTTTGAGTACATTTTAAGTTATGTATCGGTACTTTTACTCCTCTATTTTCCTCTGTTTGTGGTCGTTACATGCTTATTTTAATTGTATTTTTATCCATCAACGTGATTGGATAGATAGTAATAGGTCTCGTGACTTTCGTCAAATCAAATTGTGCATAGAAAACTTTAACCGCCAACTGTTTATCATGGCTGCTGGAAGTGCATTCCTCTAACTTAATATGTTAAGGTCAATTTCGGATTTCTGCTTACTAAATGATTTGTATATAGGCTATGCTTGCCTATCTACACGGCCTGAAATTTGGTGTGAGGCTGCGGGTATTGCATACAGTGTTAACTCCCGCAAGTGCCACGTTCGGTAAATTCCCACTCACTTACGAGACGCGCAGTCTGCACTGCCTCGTCTCTCTCTCACGTGTGTTCTGCAGCAGTCACTTGGATAAGTCGTTGTTGCTTGTTGAACTTGTTGACTTTTGATGAGTTTGAGCGCGTGATGCACGCTGTGAAAAAGTGTGTTGGAAACACAAATGACGTGATGTAATAAAACTGCAGCTCGTTAATAAAAGTTTTTTTTTATCCATTTTATACAATCCGCCTTCATTTAGCAAGTGCACTCGCACATAAACAATTTTCAAGTTCAACACCTTTTGTTCCATTCAGTTGTGGATGCTGCTGATTCACCGAGACCGCCGCGGCTCAGCAAAGATGCTGAACTATGAGTTTCTAATGGTGTTTGTATTTGCACTGTTCTAAACATTAATATTTTATGTGCGACGACAGCATATGCTGTCTCAGTGGCCTTACACATGATTTTAAATCTATTTTTTCAAACTTTATGATTTAAATGGGGATGATTGTACTGAGAATAACTTTCATCTTTTCTTCAACTGAATACTGTTTCTGTGCTGTTTTGATGTATTTTAAAGAGTTGGCAGTCAAAATTAAAACTGCTGGATGATAGATACTCTTTATTCTTTATGACAAACAAGATAATGTGAATTACAGAATGTACAACGTTTTTAAAATGTATCAATTGTGGTGTACAGCGTTTATTATGAGGGGGTAGAATCCACAGCTCAGTACTCACTACTCAATACTCATGAGTACTTTTAAATAGGCTACTCTTTTACTCTTACCAGGGTGTCCATGGGTCCTTAAAAAGTCTTAAAATGTCTTAAATTCGGATTCGATGGGTCTTAATTATTTTTGGTATCATTACCGCTAAAATCTTCAGTCTGACGGACCTAATGAATTTACAATCATTGTACAGACCGAAGAAACCCGCGGTAAGTTACGGCATCATCAGAGAGAATTGCAGTAAGTTAGCAGAATACAGAATACAAGCTCGCGCTGAGGCTCACTCTGTTTGTCTCGAGACTTCAGAACAAATGAGCGTGACAGCACACATAAACTCAGAAGAAACACATTGAGGTAAAAAATTCAAAATGTTTAGTTTATTCATAACATGATATAGTTAAATAACACCATGACAAGTGAGCTATTTTACTCAATATTCTCACAACGCAAAAAAAACAAACATTCAAAACACCAACAGAGCGCACACATTACGTATTAAGTCTAGTGCGCGTGCGCATTTACAGTATGCTCTGCCTGATCACTGCATGATTCAGTCTATTAAAATACATTCAGAAGGATCACTGATTCAAGACATGGGGGCAGAAAATGTGTATATTTAAACTCAAGATCACACGGAAGAGTGCCTTTTTTTTCTCCAAAAAAGACCATATACAAATGTGATATTGATTTTTTACAACAGTTCAATAAACTAGAAGTTTTAAGAGACTTACGTTTTAGACACCATATTGCCTATTTTTTCAGTACTCTTTCCACCACTGGTTGCCTCTAATTTCAAATGGCTAGATATTTTTGTTTAAAGCCAGTTCGTTTGTTATAAAGCAAATAGCCAATAAATACATTTGCTTAAAAATCAGTATCAGTATCAGAATCCAATTTGCTAGTTAAAGAAAAGAAAAACTGAATTCTGAATCAGCTATGACCGGCGCATCACTAATTAAAATACTTTATGATCTTGTCTTTCATAAAGGCTGAGGTCAGGGATCTTGGGCCTAAAAAGGTTGGTGACCACTGCTTTAAGGCATACTGTCCAAGTGACAAGCTGTTGTACCCCTAAAGGTACAATTTTGCACATTTGTTTGGGAGTGATATGAATTTACATGACGAGGAAGTCATATGGACTGCATGTGTAAAAGTGCAGTGTGAACATTTTGACTAATATTTCCCTCAGTTTTCTACAGAAGACTTATAACAGTATGGAGATAAATAAATGATTGTCAGAATTGTATTTTTGGGATGAACCGTTCCTTTAAACAAAACAGCATTCATACAGATCTGCTTACAGTATAATGTGAACATAATCAATGGCAGATTTTCCTCATTACAGACTCATAACAGATGTTTTATAAGCATGAAATCTATAATGTAAGACTGCAGAATTGTGAGAAAGTGAAGTCTCAGTGGCCATCTGTGCCTCTACAGGAAGTCCAAACATTACAGTAGAGGACGTTGTGCATTAGGCGAGTGAACGAAACATGCCCACCAGTGCTCTCAGTCTTAATGGGACCCTTCCACGTGTCTGACTGCCGAAGACACGTGACCACATTAAGCCCACAAGCCGAGCATTTCAATTTTGAAATTGTTTATGAATTCATTACTTTTGCTCCAGTAAACGTTCAGTTGCTACAGAAAAGGGAATCAATTTGTCCCTCGCCCATCTGCGCTCAATGAAAATACCGTTTTTAAGAAAATACATTGAATTCCTCTGACGGAATCATTCGATTATTTCTGAAGCTGTTTATGAATTTCAATACCTCGAAAAACGTCATTCTTTTGTATTCAGTTGAGAAATGTCACTGTGTTCTCAAATAAGCTTATTTGCTTTTTGCAGAGGCGCCCTATTTCACCGCTGAACCCAGGAGAAAGATTATGGGAGAGGTGGAGAAAAGCGTAGATATCCAGTGCCAAGCTCGAGGTGAGTGTTTTACGTGCGGGACTTAAACCGAGGGGGCTGGATTGATTCGAGATTTCTAAGTATACTCTGCAATATGCTTTACACACAATAGACATACAATACACTTCAACCCCCTTCTGATCCTAGCGCTTCATTGAGTGCTCAGAGCTTTTGTAGTCGGTAAGCTTATTTACGTAAAGGTATTTATAGCAATTTTCACATCGCTGCCGCCTACCGTCATGAATGAAGTTCCAGGAGCGCCGTGCGGGTCTATTAACCAACCCCGAGGACTGTCCTGCTCTGTTTGGGGGTGATTTATAAAATCTGTGCATTTAGAGGATGTCAGCGTCCCTTCGTGGAAGACAGATGGTGGCCTTTCGGAGGAGTGGCGAAGAGTTTACGATTAGCTGTGAGATATGAGGTGTTGATGGGAAGGGGCTTAAACCATTATCATTATAGAGTGGAAAAATGGGCGATGAAATGGTATTGGTTTTCTGCCAGAAATATTTTCTAGCTTTCTAATAGTGCTGGAATGGAAAGTCGGCCCAACTGTTATAACCGTACTTATATTTGTCCGTTGAGGTTCAGGCTCGGCTCAGCTGCAATTTCAGCGAGGGGTAAAAATGATCCCTCAGCATCAGATGGGCTGCGAGAAATAAAAACAAGCAAGTCACCCCGCCGTATCCTCAAGAGTGGAAAGTGGAATCAATCCATTACCTCTCTTATGTGCTGCTTCTGGGACCGTTCTCACTTTTTTTATGTGGCTGGATTGAAAGGAATCCTTTTGTTTTGAGAAGTTATATCTCTCCAGAGCAGAATCAGAAGTCTTCAGCTCTCGAGGATCAAGGAAAAGACTATAACACATGCCCAGAGCCCCTCGCTCTTTTGATAAGTCTCAGAAAATTTACACGGCAAAGTCTGCGGCTGTTTGCTGCAGAGTGGAGCTTGATACAGCCGTTAACCACAGGCGAAGAGCGCTAAATGAGTTTGAATAATACAATCTGGTGGCCTTCTCTTGATGCAGACGAGAGCCACAGCAAGTGATGATTTTCTCTGTCTAGCTCTTTCAGCTGTTACTTAGATCATTCCCCCCAAGAGTGTGCTTTTCCAAGCTGCTGGAATATTCTTAGAAACGTGCTAGCCGAATCTGTTTGGAGGCTTAAGGCTTCAGATCATCTCATTTCCACTTGACACTTCATCTTTTTTATATCCTACAAAGAGTGCAGCCAGCATTTTCAAAATTAGACCTATGACTGTGTGTATAATAAAGTGTGTTTAGACCAGGGCGGTGCATGTGGCTTCATACTGCACAGGCCTGAGCTTCCAAAAACAAGAATGGGGATAAACGTAGTGTAATTTCACGTTGGCAAAATGGATTCACTGAACTTGGGAAGCTTATTTAATGTAGTGTCAGCTCAGACAATAGACCAACAATACTAGGAAGCTTTAGCAATTAGCTTAGCTTTGGATTCTATCTATCTATCTATCTATCTATCTATCTATCTATCTATCTGTCTGTCTGTCTGTCTGTCTGTCTCTTTCTTTCTTTCTTTCTTTCTTTCTGTCTGTCTGTCTGTCTGTCTGTCTGTCTGTGTCTGCCTGCCTGCCTGCCTGCCTGTCTGTCTGTCTGTCTGTCTGTTTCTTTCTTTCTTTCTTTCTTTCTGTCTGTCTGTCTGTCT